AAAACTGCAGGTGGAGACCCCGAGCCGTGTCCACTGCCCGGCGTGTGTTGATGGGCCCGCAGTGCGCGGCGGGGACTGTTTTCACCCTTTACCACGCGTCAGAAAAAGATAAGATACGGGATTTTGACTTTTTTTGGTCGTAAACAAGTTCCCCACGGTCTGAATTTTCTCTATAAGCCAAATGCCATCAAGTCTATAATCCCAGCACTTTGGGAGACCGAGGCACAAGGATGCCCTGAGCTGCAGGTTTGAGACCAGCCTGGGCAACTTGGCGAGACCTCGTCTCTACAATAAATCAAAAAATTAGCCGGGCGTGGTAGCGCACGCCTGTAGTTCCAGCTACTCGGAAGGCTGAGGCGGAAGGATCGCCGGAGCCCGGCAGGTCGAGGCTGCGGTGGCCGGGCAACAGAGTGAAACTCCAACTCAAAAAAATAAATAAAATAATTGTGTCCAACGCTCTACTATTTAATGTGAAGCGATTCATTTTTCATTATTTTGTGAAAAAGTAGGGTTGCATTGCTGGTAGGTGATTTGTGAGGTGTCTCCAAGTACAAAGGGTTAAACATTCATTTTGATATGTTTGATTGAACCAAGAATATCCAGAGTATTATCATTTGACACATCAGTATTTGAAAGCCTTATTGATGAAATATTTTATGTTCTTTTTTATGCTAAGGCACAAAGCCTACACTTCCAGCACATCTTAGTGGGTTCTCTGTGGCACGAACCACATTTCAAGCGCTCAGTAGCGCCTGTGGGCAGGGACTGCCTTGGACTGTGACATTCTGGAGAAACAGACAATAAAGACAGAAACAATTACAAAATGCTACAAATTCAAGGGAGCAAAATGGGTCAAGTGGTGGGGAATCGAGGAAGGAACCCTTCAGCCAGGGTGGGGGGGAAGTTCTTTTGGGAAGGTGAAACGTGAGCCCAGACCTAAAGGAGATGGAGCTGGCCTTGCAGAGATCTGAGGCAAGAGGATTCCTCAAAAAGCAGACGCAGAGTTCCTGAGTGGGACAGTCTTGGCTTGAGGAAGCCTCCAGGTCGCTGAGGTGCTGGAAGAGAAAGGGTGGAGATGGGCGGGGGGGGGGGGGTCTGTATCATGGAGCCCCTTAGAGGTGATGGCAGAGTCGGGCTTCATTCTAGGTGTGTCTGGAGAACTTTGAACAAGGGAGAAACGTGACCTAACTTGCATTTTCAGAAGAACTTCTAGCTTTGCCAAGATCAGATCGTAAGGGTGGGAGGTGATGACAACATTAGGAGCAGGGAGACCAATTCGGTTATTACAGCAATTCAGATGACCCAATGGTGATGACTTTTTAAAAATCAGGCATTCAGCCGGGCTCGGTGGCTCAGCCTGTAATCCTGCGCCTTTGGGAGGCTGAGGTGAGTGGATTGCCTGAGCCCGCGGGTTCGAGACCCGCCTGGGCAGTGAGACCTCATCTCTACAATAAATCAGAATGTCAGCCGGGCGTGGTAGCACATGCCTGTAATTCCGGCTCCTTGGAAGGCTGAGGCGGAAGGATCGCTGGAGCCCAGCAGGTCGAGGCTGCGATGGCCGGGAGCGGCCGCTGCACTCCAGTCTGGGCGACCGAGTGAGACTCCAACTCAGAAGAAAAAAAATCAGGCATTCGTTTTGCCATCAGGAGGGGCGGAGGGGAAGGGGGGAAGGATTTCACAGGCGGTCATGTGAAGCACCTGTTTTATCCCCTGGGCGATGAATGCTCGGAGAAGGAGCAGAGTCAGTGTGCCAGAGAAGCCAGAGGAAGGGAGACTCACTTGGTGCTCGGCCCCTCCCTGTCCCGAGACGAAATCAGAATGACTCAGTCTGGAGCTCTGCCGATTCCACTTGGCTTTTGGAAGAGAGACTGTGGGCCCCTGGGGAACCTTGTAGCCTGTTCTCATGAGTAACGCTTTTGTTTTCCCTTTTAGTTAAGAAGAGTTTTATGGGCCAAAATAAATCTTTCTTTGGTCCTTTGGAGCTGGTGGAGAAACTTTGTCCAGATGCGTCAGATTTAGCTACTAGTGTCAGAAATCTGCCAGAATTAAAGTGAGTGAAAAGTAATTACACCGATTTGATGTTCTAAAAAGCCCCTGCGTGTTACCCCTGTTTAGTTCCTTGCTGATGAAACTGCTTCTAATTTGGAGCAGACGGTTCCCTGAGTCACACCCTCCTCAGCCTTTAGTTCCAGCTCTGCTGCTTTTTGTCCACGTGATCTTTAGCAAGATTTGCCCCTCTCTGAGCCTCAGTCTCCTTTTCTTTAAAATGGGGATAGTGATTCCTGCTTGCCACGTATTTCAAATAGGTTGAAAAGGTCGCCGACCAAAGAAGAGTCCCAGGAGGAAAAGGCATTTTGGCTGCACTCCTGGGCTCACTGCTGTGGACTCATGTGGGCAGTTTTCCGAATAATACAGTTTGGGCCAGATTTTAGATTTCAGGACAGGGGGTGTTTGTAAATAGCATGGAACGAATGAATTACTTGCCATGTCTGGATTTGCCCGGGGACTCCTGTGCATAGGCTCAAAATCGAAAGCAGGACGGAACACAAATAAAGCCTCATCATGGAACTCGGCCTTGAGAAGGGGCCTGAGGATCCTTGAGCCGATGTGAAGGTGCCCTCCGCAGAGTCTCCCACGAGGAGACTGTTCCATTCCCGATAATGACACCACCACCACCCTGAGGCCCGCGATGCGCCCAGCGTTGTGGCAAGAACATTTCTCTCCATTCTCTCATTCAGCCCTCCCCAACGGTCCTTGGGATGTTGTTAGTACCCCACTCGCTTGTGAGTGTGGAAACAGAGGTTTAGCATGGTTCGGAAACTTGCCCAAGTTCCCTTGGCAAGCGAGTGCCGGAGCCAGGAGGAGAAGCCATGCCTGCTGGACTCCGAATCCCTCAAATCCCCCTAAGCTTCGCTGCTGCCAAGCCCTGTGTGTCCCCTCAGAGCAGAGTTGGCCTCTGTCCCTGGGCACGTTCAACCCTCCATGCCCACACTGCATAGACACAAAGCTTTTGCACGTGCCAGCCTTTCAGATCTTTATTTGATGGCCTCTTTCACAGACCCCCCCAAGTCTTCTGCCTGTGTCTTCTGTTCTGTGTCTGACACGGTTTCCAGCCCTTCCTTACCCACTCCTCAAGGGAAAGCGCCCAACATAGCGTTCTGCTGTTTCTGAGGCCTCTTATTACTTTTTTTTTCCTTTAATTTTAAGAGGGGGTATAATTCAGGGTTAGATACATAAGTGGTCATCGTGCATGTGAAGTTTGGGCCTCCCATTGGTCCTCACTTTGGGGACCCTTATTAATGTTATGTGGTCTTCTGCTCCCCTGGCAGTGACCTGCTACTGCCAGTCCCTTTCATGCAGTATTACGGTAAATGTTCAGGGTCCACTTATGAGTGAGAACATGTGGTACTCAGTTCTTTTCCCTGTGATAGATCACTAAGTTTGATGGACTGTAAATCCATCCAAGTTGCTACAAAGTTCATAATTTTATCCTTCTTTATAACTGCATAATAGTCCATTGTGTATTTATCCAGTCCCCTCTCGATGGGTAGCATGGTTGGTTCCATGTTTTTGCTATTGTGAATAGTGCTGCAATAAGCATGTATGCACAGGTATCTTTTTTTTTTTTTTCCCAGGTGGCACAAGCGCGCCTCTATTGTTGAGAATAACTTGTGTAGGGGGGCCTTCCGGAATAAACCGGAAGGCCTGCTAGACAAATTCTAAAAGAGCTGCAACATTGCAGGTATCTTTTTTGTAGAATGATTTGAGTACTTCTGGGTATATTCCCAGAAGGGAGATTGCAGAGTCGTATGAAAGGTTGATTTTTAGATCTTTTAGAAATCTCCACGCTGTTTTCTACAGAGGTGGTGCTAGTTTATACTCCCCCTCAACAGTGTAGAAGTGTCCTCTTTTCGCCGTATCCTCTCCAGCATCTGTTGTTTTTTGAGTTATTAATGACGGCCATCCTGACTGCAGTTAGGTGGAATCTCAGTGTTTGAATCCTTTTTGAAGTCTTGTTATACTAACCCAGAGCTCACTTACCTAAATTCACCACGTCTATTTCCTCATTAATCCTGTGGCTGCCAAACCAGCGACAAGCTCAAGTGTTGAGAATCCTCACCGTATCTCTATGTGCCAGAAAGGAAATACGCGATAGTTCCAATAGTTCCCTACTTTTTTCAGAGATGAGGCCTCACTGACTTGTCCAGGCTGGTCTCAGACTGGGACTAGGGGCTGTGGGCTCGAGCCACCATGCCCAGCTAGCTCCTTCCTCTTGATGCCTTGGGAGGAACAGCCTTCCTGGGGTCGTGTGGGGGAGGGCTGCTGTTCAGCTTCGCTTTGCTTCATAAAGAGCTGCAGTGCTTTTACTGTTTCATTCGATGTTAAAAAAAAGTTCTAAAGTTTTTACAGTATTTTGGAAGTTAGGACTGGTAGTTTTTTGGGGAGGGGGTGGAGGATTGTTTAAGGTGGTTTGAAATGTACAGGGTGGGCCGGGCACGGTGGCTCATGCCTGTAATCCCATACTTTGGGAAGTGCAGACAAGAGGATTGCCTGAGCCCAGGGGTCCATGACCAGCCTGGGCAACTTGGCGAGACCTCGTCTCTACAGTAAACCAAAAAAATAGCCGGGCATGGTGGCATACACCTGTAGTTTCTGCTACTTGGAAGGCTAAAGCGGAAGGATCGCCTGAGCCCAGCAGGTCGAGGCTGCAGTGCTGTGAGCGTGCCACTGCACTCTAGCCTGGGCGACAGAATGAGACTCCAACTCAAAATAAATTAAAAAAAAGAAAGAAAGAAATTTACAGGGTAAGTGTTACATTCTGGGCGGGATCTCTAGAGTTTAGTTCCTCATCTGACTGAGATAAAGGCAGCCTTTGTAACGTGGCTTGTCACCCAGTGCATGTCACTGTTTTCGTGTGGTAGTTTATTATTGAACGTGTCTTTACGTGCTAAGTACCAGTTTCTAATATTGACACTTAAACCTAGACAAGACTTCTTTCTCCTTTTTGAAAATTAGTAACTTTTTCCAAATTACCTAATTTTTAATGAGGAAGTAAAAACAAGCAAAAAAGGGAACTTGTAAAGCTTCCGTTTACTCACTACCCAGCAAAACCTCCTATTAACGTCTTGGTCAGTGTCCTTCCAGAGCCTTTCAGCGCACTGTCCAACAGGCAGACAGGGAAGCAGCTGTTTTTGCTGTACGTTCCCACCAGTGCTGCCCGCTGTGGCCTCACACCGTGCTCACTGCCGCAGAGGACAGCTGGGCACTTGGTCAGACGCTGTGACCGTTGGACCCAGGATTTTACCCCACAGGTGTAATGCATGGATAGAACTGTTTATTGCAGCATTGTTCTTTTTTTCTTTTAGAGTTGGAGTCTCACTCTGTCGCACAGGCTGGAGTGAGGTGGCACACTCATGGCCACTGCAGCCTCGTCCTGCTGGGCTCAGACGATCCTTCCTCCTCAGGCTTCCAAGTAGCTGGATATGCAGGTGTGCACCACCACGCCTGGCTAATTTTTCTTGATTTATTGTAGAGACGAGGTCTCACCAAGTTGCCCAAGCTAGTCTCGAACCCCTGGACTCAGGTAATCCCCTCGTCTCCACCTCCCAAAGTGCTGGGATTATAGGCTTGAGCCACCACGCCCAGCCTTTCAGCATTATTTCTAAAGCAGGAGATTATAACCAGCCTAGATGTTTTTTAAAACCCAGCTAAATAAATTATGGTGCCATCCAAAAATGAAACCCAGAGGCTGTTAAAAAAATTAATGGTCCTCTGTGTGATGGTGTGGACAGAGTTTTAGAATGACAGATACTTAGTGAAGCATGCAGGTTGAGACCAGCATGTAAAACGTGCTGTTTTTTTGTAAATGGGAAAAAACTAAGCATTTATGTGTGTACTTGTTCTCATATGCGTAAACATGTTGTGAATTGAACCTAAAACGAAGAAGGGGGATGGGAAGGTGGAAGACAGGGCTTAGAGGGAGTTCCAGCTGTGCGCCCTTTAATGCCTTCTGGGCTTTAAACCAAGTGAAGGTATTAATGCCTGTTCAAAAAATCAGGCCGGGCACAGTGGCTCACGCCTATAACTTCTGCACTTTGAGAGGCCAAGGCGTGAGGACTGTTTGAGACCAGCATGGCAAGACTCTTATCTCTGCAAAACATTTTTTTTTTTTTTTAATTGGGCCAGTGGCAGTGACTCAAGCCTGTAATCCTGGCACTTTGGGAGACTGAGGCAGGAGGATTACCTGAGCCCAGGGGTTTGAGACCAGCCTGGGCAACTTGGTGAGACCTCGTCTCTACAATACATTAAAGAACATTTAGCCGGGTGTGGTGGCTCATGCCTGTAGTTCTAGATACTTGGTAGGCTGAGGTGAAAGGATCACCTGAGTCCAGCAGGTTGGTGGCTGTGAGCGTGCCACTGCACTCCAGTCCAGGTGACAGAGTGAGACTCCAACCCCCCAAAAAATTAGCTGAGCATGGTGGCATGTACCTGCAGTCCCAGCTACTCAGGAGGCTGAGGTGGCAGGATTGCCTGAGCCAAGAAGTCGAGTCTGTGATGAGCTATAAATATGCCATTGCACTCAACCTGGGTGAAAAAAAAGCAATTCAATATTAAAGTATATATACTGTTTTGTAATCTTTTGTTCATTTAGTCCATTTAATATTAGATTATAAATTTCAAACAGTCATAACATCATTTTTCCAATGACCAAATTATATTCTGTTGCATGGCTAATCTGTTTGTCCTGCCTTTGGGCTGGCTGTCTTCACATTCTCATGATCACAAACTAATAATGTCGTGATGGCCATCCCCTAAAGCACATCCTGGCCAGGCTCTGTGGCTCAGCCTGTAATCCCAGCACTTTGTGAGGTCGAGGCAAGTGAATTGCCTGAGCCTGCGGGTTGGATTCCAGCCCCGGCAACTTGGCGAGACCTTGTCTCTACAGTAAATAAAAAATCGGCCAGGTGTGATAGTGCACGCCTGTAGTTCCGGCCACTTGGAAGGCTGAGGCGGGAAGATCGCCTAAGCCCGGCAGGTCGAGGCTACAGTGACCTTGAATGTGCCACTGCACTCCAGGGCGACAAAAGTAATACTCCAACTCAAAAAAATTTTTTTTTCCTTTTGTATTAAAAATAAAATATAGCCAGTCCTGGTGGCTCATGCCTGTAATCCCAGTACTTTGAGAGGCCGAGGCAGGAAGATCGCTTCAGCCCAAGAGTCCAAGACCAGCCTGGGCAACAGAGTAAGACCTCGTCTCCACAAAAAATAAAGTGTCCGGATGTGGTAGTGCACGCCTGTAGTCCCACCTACTCCAGAAACTGAGGTGGGGAGATTGCCGAGCCCAGGAGGTCGAAGCTGCGGTGGGCCATGATCATGCCCCTGCACTCCGGCCTGGGCAACAGAGTGAGGCCACAACTCAAAAAGAAAAGAAAATACGTGCCCGGTACAAATTTGAATGCTGCCCATTTCTCCACTGCCCAGATGGTGTGTGTCCCTCCCCCACCCCAAAGCGCCGTTCTCAGCTCATCCTGTGCATTCACAGGTGTGTGTGTGGGCGTGTGTGTCTCCCTGGCTAGCTCAGGGTGGTTTTCTGTGTTGTTTTTGTCACGCCACAACAGTTTGATTCCTGTGAATTCTAGGACAGCGGTGGGAAGGGGCCGAGCTTGGCTCTACCTTGCACTGATGCAAAAGAAGCTGGCCGACTACCTGAAAGTGCTTGTGGACAACAAATCTCTCCTAAGGTATCTCATCTCCTAGCTTCGCTTTCTTTGGTTTTGTAAATAATTAGAGCATCGTTCTGTAGATCAATTGGAATTAAAATAAGAGTGTATAATGTTTGCGGAAATGGGTGGTTCATTTTTTATACTTCAGCAAACATAATCATTATAAGAGGAAATTTCTCTAGACCACGATAGTTTACGAGAGAGGAGTCTCGAGTTAAGCCTCTTGTCTAATTGAGGCAAAGATGTCTTTTGCTGTGTGGCCCAAACCCACATCTTGTGGTGTTTTCGAGACATGGCTTCTTATTGAACATGTCTTTGCGTGATAAATACTGATTTTTTTTTTTTTTGATAAAGCAGGATTTATTGAGAGAACAGAAAAGCTCCCACAGTGGGAGGGGACCCGAGGGCGTTGCCCCAATAAACTGATTTCAAATATTTCATAGACATTATACTCTGAGCAGAGTTGCACTAAGTAACTTGGAGTTGCAGACTTTGTTCTAATGAACCAAGTCTTTCTCTTGAGTTAATTTTTATTTGTAATTGACACACAGTGTGCATGTTTGTGGGATATAGTGGGCCATTCCAATGTGTGTGTATATTGTATAAAGATCAAATCAGGGTTGTTCCACGTTCTTGACTAACGAACTGTTACTTAGGACAGGAAATGCTTAAGCACACACAGCAGTTGGGAGGCCCTTGTGTTTGGTAAATTAGCAAATCGCTGGTGATCAGAGCAGTAATGGACAGGAAGGAAGTAAAAGCAGCGAATGTCCTCGTGGGACTCGACATTCTTAGGTGTGGGTGGCCAGGGGATCCTATTTCCTGCTGAAAGAAGTGCACGTGTGGAAGTCGAGCCAGTGGACACACAGGAGGGGCAGAATGCTGGCCAGGAATGCCGTGGCCAGGAGGAGATGAGAAGGCCCGGGGCACAGGGTCTGAGGGAGGAGTAGCCAGAGACAGGAGGGAAGAGCCCATTCCAAGCCACAGGAAGAGAGGAGCAGGTGGAGGAGCCCAGAAGGAGTGGGGGGAGAGAGAGGGAGAAGGGTGGTCACACGGGGGCGCTGGGGGAGGTGAGGGGTCGGTCATGCAGGTGGGCCGAGGCGGGGGAGAGGGAGGACAGTGTTCATGCGGGGAGCTCTGGGGGGGAGGGAGGGGGTGGCCACACAGAGGGCTCTGGCTCCCGGGTGAAGGGGGAAAGAGGAGGGGAGGAGAGTGGCATCCTCCCTCTGTCGATCTGTCTCTTCCAGCGAGTTCTACGACCCTGAGGCCTTAATGATGGAAGAAGAAGGGATGGTGATGGTCGGTCTGCTGGTGGGCCTCAACGTTCTTGATGCCAATCTCTGCTTAAAGGGAGAAGATTTGGATTCTCAGGTAAAGCGGAATTTTAGCTTTGGATGGAGCACCTTCTTTTTGAAAATAACTGAACGTCACACGTATTCCCAGGACTTCGAGTCATTTTGTTTTTGTCCCTCCAGCTCACAAGTCGAAGGGTGTGTGTGTGTGTGTGTGTGTGTGTGTGTGTGTTTTAGAGTGAAATGTCTGGAGGCTTATCATTAAACCAAAATATGATTTCTAAGCACACCCTTCTGTAATTTTTTAAGATTTAACAGTATGTTCCATAGCTTTTGACGACAATGAGAATGTGAACCACTTTATTATTTATTTATATATTTATTTATTTATTTTGAGTTGGAGTCTCACTCTGTCACCCAGACTGGAGTGCAGTGGCCACTCCCGGCCACCGCAGCCTTGACCTGCTGGGCTCCGGCGATCCTTCCGCCTCAGCCTTCCGAGTAGCTGGAACTACAGGTGTGTGCTACCACGCCCAGCTGATTTTTGATTTATTGTAGAGATGAGGTCTCGCCAAGTTGCCCAGGCGGGTCTTGAACCCGCGGACTCAGGCAATCCACTCACCTCAGCCTCCCAAAGGCGCAGGATTACAGGCTGAACCACCGAGCCCGGCTGTGAACCATTTTAAGTGGCTGCATGGTATTCCATTTTTAAATGTCCCATACTTTTAACCAATGCCTTATTAATTTAGGCTGTTTCTATGCTATAACAACAATGTTTTGTTGTTGTTGGGTTTTTTTGTTTGTTTGTTTGTTTTGAGTTGGAGTCTCACTCTGTCACCCAGACTGGAGTGCAGTGGCCGCTCCCGGCCACCGCAGCCTCGACCTGCTGTACTCCGGTGATCCTTCCACCTCAGCTTTCCGAGTAGCTGGAATTACAGGCATGCGCTACCACGCCTCGCTGATTTTTTGATTTATTGTAGAAATGAGGGCTTGCTGCCCAGGCGGGTCTTGAACCCATGGGCTCAGGCAATCCACTCACTTCAGCCTCCCAAAGGCGCGGGATTACAGGCTGAGCCACCGAGCCCGGCTAACAACAGTGTTATAAACATCCTTAAAGTTCTTTGTACTCTTATCCATTTGTGTCCTTAGGATACATGTTGGACTGTTGTATCAAAGTACACACAGTCTGCATGATGATAGACACTGTGAGGCTGACCTCCAGGAAGGTCTTTCATCTCACACGCGGCAGCACCTGAGACCCCTCCTCCTGCTCCCACTTCTGACAGACAAAGCATCTCACATCTCCAAGATTTTTTTCCTGTGTTTTTCCATTGGTGGTTCAGCATTTGCGACTACCTTTTCTTATCTCCAGCCCATTTTTCTGAGTTTCCAATCTTTTCCCACTTTATTGTAAACTAAGGATACTGACCCTTTGTCAAAATTTTTGTTATAAATTTTTTTTCTGACTTCTCAAAGTGAGGTGATTTTCCCTGTAGAATTTTTGTTTTCAGTCAAATTTAGCAGATGGTTCCTTTAAGCCTTCTAAGCTATTATGCTTTGAAGGGCCTGCCGCATCTAAAAATTCATCTAATTAAAAAAATTAAATGTGTGTTTTTTGCCTTTACTTAGCCTGTCGTTTGTCTTGGCATGGTGTGACATGGGAATCTAGGTTTCCTTTACAAATGCTTAACCAGTTTTCTCAATACCATTCATTACAGAGATTTTTCTACTAATTTGAAAGTCCACCTTTACCTCAATGTTAAATTCCCATTCTGTGCTCAATTTTTTTGTTTGTTTGTTTTTGGGGTTTTTTTGTGTGTGTTGGAGTCTCACTCTGTTGCCCAGACTGGAGTGCAGTCCCCCTCCCAAGGCGCGGGATTACAGGCTGAGCCACTGAGCCCGGCTTGTGCTCAGTTTTAATTCTGAATTCTTCTGTCAGGTTCCTGAATCTCTCTGTTTCTATGCCAGGAGCTCACTCATCTTGTTTTTGTTTGTTTGTTTGTTTGTTTTTAATGCTACAACAGACTTTCTGTTGTTGTTTTAGAGATTGGTAAGCAGCTGGACACAGTGGCTCACACCTGTAATCCCAGCACTTTGGGAGGTGGAAGTAGAAGGATTGCCTGAGCCCACGGGATCGAGACCAACCTGGGCAAGTTGGCAAGATCTCGTCTCTACAGGAAATCAAAAAATTAGCCAGGCGTGGTAGCGCGCACCTGTAGTTCCACCTACTTGGAAGGCTGAGGCAGAAGGATCGCCTGAGCCCAGCAGGTCAGTGCTGGGGTGGCCATGAGCATGCTACTGCACTCCAGCCTGGGCAATGGAGTGAAACTCCACCTCAAAAAAAAAAGAGAAATAAACCTTGAATGCTGTCAGATACCCTTTTTTTTTTTTTTTTTTTTTAATTGGGGTCTTTCTCTGTCACTTTGACTGGATAACAATGCTGTGCTCACATCTCACCACAGCCTTGACCTCCTGGACTCAGAAGATCCTTCCACCTCAGCCTCCTGAGTAGCTGGGACTACAGACGTGTGCCACCAACCAATTTTTTTTAATTTTATTTTTATAGCAATAGTATCTCACTGTGTTGCCCAGGCTGGTCTTGAACGCTTGACCTCAAACAATCCTCCCCCCTCAGCCTCCCAGTGTGCTGAGATTAAAGGTGTGAGCCACTTTTTTGGCATCTGTCAACATGTTACATCTGTTTTTAACCCATAGATATAACTGAATTCATCAGTAGATTTCCTATTTGATAGTATGCCTGCATTTCTAGAGTAAACCCAACTGTGTTCTCACATGCCCCCAGATCTCATGTGTTCATGGTTTTTTAGAATTTTCAAGTGTCTACTTATAAGTGAAACTGTTCTAAATTTTCTTTCTTTCTTTTTTTTTTTCTGAGTCAGAGTCTCACTCTATTACCCAGGCTGGAGAGCAGTGGCATGGTCACCGCCACTACAGCCTTGACCTATGGACTCACATGATCCTTCAACCTCAGCCTTCCAAGTAGCTGAAACTACAGGCATGTGCCACCATGCCCAGCTAATTTTTTGATTTATTGTAGAGACAAGGTCTCACCATGTTGCCCAGTCTGGTCTCGAGCTCCTGAGCTCAGGCAATCCTCTCGCCTCGGCCTTCCAAAGTGCTGGGATTATAGGCGTGAGCCACTGCACCCGGCTTGAATTTTCCTTTCTAAACCGTCTTTGCCTCTTTTTGGTGTCAGGATTATATTAACCTCATAAGACAAACCAGGAGATAATTCCCCCCTTTCTCGTTTCTCACTGTAGTTTATTGGACCAGGAATTCTTTTCCTTGAGTGTGGCTAGAACCTTATGCTGTGACTGCTTCATTCTTAGCCCTTTCTTGGTCTTAGTTCTTTGACCACTTTAATTGTTTTCACATGTTTTCGTCAATTTGTTGGTTTCCTAAGTCTTCATTTGTATTTTTCTAGAAAGCATATCCCACCGATCTGCTAAGTTACAGTTGCGTGGACAAACTTAAGTCTTAAGCTGCAAGGCTTGCCCTATTTTCATCTCTGGTCCTGTGGAGCTGGTGAATACTGATTGTACTTGCCAGAGATCAGTCTATCTTGTTGAACTTTTGAAAACTCAGCTCTCTCTTTTTTTTTTTTTTTTTTTTTTTGAGTTGGAGTCTCACTCTGTCGCCCAGACTGGAGTGCAGTGGCCACTCCCAGCCACCACAGCCTCGACCTGCTGGGCTCTGGCGATCCTTCCGCCTCAGCCTTCCAAGGAACTGGAACTACAGGCGCGTGCTACCACACCCGGCTAATTTTTTATTTATTGTAGAGATGAGGTCTCGCCAAGTTGCCCAGGCGGGTCTCAAACCTGCAGGCTCAGGCAATCCACTCACCTTGGCCTCCCAAAGTGCTGGGATTACAGGCTGAGCCACCGAGCCCGGCCAGGGAAAACTCTTTCTAGAAGCTTTTCTGCTTTTTCTGTGCACTTGTGTCCATAGGTTTTGTTTTAAATCAAATCTGTTCTGGTTTTCTGTTGCTGTATAACGAGTCAACCCAGACAGTATCAGTCACTGCCCCTTCCACAACTGGGGTTGGCTGGGCTCAGTGGGCAGGTTTTATTCAGGAGCTTTTGGGATTAGATTCGTCTGAGGGTGACTGGGGCTGGACTCACCGAAGGTTTTCCGCTCCCACACCTGTCATCCAGACTGGGAAGACCAGAGATCTGGGACTGGGACTGGGACAGCAAGGGCTTCTTGAGCAAGTCTCTCTGTGGGTGGTCTCCAGCACCGAGGCATCAGAGGCAGCTGGACACAGTGGCTCACACCCATAACCCCAGCACTTTAGTAGACCAAGGCAGGAGGATGGCTTGAGCCCAGGAGTTCAAGACCAACCTGGGCCACATAGCAGGACCCTGCCTCTACAAAAAATTTAAAAATTAAAACTTGAGACTGGATACAGTCATTCATGTCTGTAATCCCAGCACTTTGGGAGGCTGAGACAGGAGGATTGCTTGAGACCAGGAGTTTGAGACCCACGAGACCCAGTCTCTACCCAAAAAAAAGAAATTAGCCAGGCATGATAGCACATATGCATAGTCCCAGCTACTTGGGAGGCTAAGGCAAGAGGATCGCTTAAGCCCAGGAGTTTGAGGCTACAGTGTGCTACGGTCATGCCACTGCCTCCAGCCTGGGTGATCCTCTCTAAAAAATAAAAAATAATAACAATAAAATGAAATTTAAAGTAATCTTCAAAGGCCTATGCCACGAGAGAAAGAGCTGGGTGGAGGCTGTCTTGCCCTTTTCAACCTAGCTGCAGAAATCACAGAGCATCATCTCTACCACATTTGACTCATCCAGCAGGCACTAAGGCCCCCCAGGTTTCAGGGTTGGGGATATAGATTCCTCGGTGAGAGGCATGTCTGAGAAGTCACAGACATGTCTTAAAACCACCACTCAAGCCAGGCATGGTGGCTCATACCTATAATCCCGGCACTCTGGGAGACAGAGGCGAGAGGATCGCCTGAGCCCACAGAGTTGAGACCAGCCTGGGCAACATGATGAGACCTCATCTCTACAATAAATCAAAAAATTAGCCAGGCATGGTGGCATATGCCTGTATTTCTGGCCACTTGGAAGACCGAGGTGGAATGCTCACCAGAGCCTAATAGGTTGACACTGGGGTGGCCGTGAGCATGTCACTGCACTCCAGCCTGAGCAACAGAGTAAGACTCTGACTCAAAAAAACAAAAAACACCCCTCAGCGCTTCCATTGCAACATGAGAGGGATTACTATTGCAGAGTTAATGCTGTTTATATTATTCTTTGACTTAAAATTGTCTCCTGAGGCCTTTAATGTTATTCTGCATCTGTCCGCTACATTTTGTGGCGGCTGCTTGGGTTCTGGGATGTGACTGATGTGATTGATCTAAACGTTCTCTGTCAATGGACATGTGGGTAGCACCCAGTTTTCCTGCATTTCAAATAATAATGGGTTCATTTAATCTCAAGTGCTTTATTTCTTGACCCAGACCCCTGATGTTAAAATGTGTGAGAGGTATTGATTCTTCCTAATTTCTAGCAAAGGTAGAGAATTTTCCTGAAGTACTGATTAGATCATTTCACCAAATTTGAGGGGGAAAGACTCAAAAATATCAGTTGAGATCACACTTTGCTCTAGAGATAGAGGACTTTTTTTAAAAAATTACTTTTGACCAAGCAGGGTAGCTCATGTCTGTAATCCCAGCACTTTGGGAAGTGGAGGGGAGAGGAGTGCCTGAGCCCAGGTATTCGAGACCAGCCTAGACAACTTGGTGAGACCTCATTGCTACAATAAATTTAAAAAAAAAAAAAATTAGCCAGGCATGATGGTACACACCTGTAGTTCCAGCTACTTGGAAAGCTGAGGCAGAAGAATTGCCTGAGCCCAGCAGGTCGAGTTGCACTCCAGCCCGGGCAACAGAGTGAGACTCGACCTCTAAATACATAAATGAATGAATGAATGAATGAGTATTACTTTGTGCCCAAAGAATTTTGTTGATCTCTGTAAATAATGTGATTACCTGATAAACAGACAAAACTAATCTTAACTGGGTGGTGAAATTCCAGAATATTCTCTTAAATCTGCTATGTAGTGTGTTTTTCTTCTAGAAGGTGGCATGGTTATTTTTCTTTGGTTTGTTCAGTTGATTACCACTTTGTAGAGCTGGTTAGCCTAACTAAACATTCGTAGGAAAGAGATAAGAATGTGAATATCTTGAATGTCAAATGTTGTGAGACTTGTGAAAAATAGGCACCGTTCTTCTGTCTCTAAACGTGCGCATCTTGTCTCACTCAGGTTGGAATAATCGACTTTTCCCTTTACCTGAAGGACGTGCAGGACCTTGATGGTGGCAAGGAGTGAGTACTGTGCTGCGCTGCCGTGTCCTTCACGCTTTTAATGAAAGGCTGGCAAAGAGCATGTCTCTTGCTTTTGCTTCGAGGCCTTAGTCTGTGTTGGGTTGTTTTTAATCTTAGAGCAAAGCACGATGCCCTCACTGTCCAAGGAACACAGTGCAGGTGGGGCTTCCCATCGCACAGGCCCCCAGCCCACCGCCTCTTGGAGGGAGACAGTCTTCCGTCTGCTTGCGAGCTTTGCTAACACTGTGCAAGTGTAAGGTTGCAGTACATTTTGCTTGGCAGTTGGTCCAGCTGTGGGGGGCCGGTCCTGGGTAGGCTGCCCGTGGGCTTCCCTTGGGTTGCTGTGTGTGGGTGTCTCCTCGTGCCACTATTGTGGCGATGCCACGGGGCAGCCCCCTGCACCCTTGTGGACGAGCGCATGCTTGTGAAAGAAGTTATGGGGGGCGGGAAGCGAGGTCAGAAGAGCCCAACCAGTGTGGGTGACATCTGCCATTGCACTGTAATAAAAAAGGACACCCAAGCCGGGCTCGGTGGCTCAGCCTGTAATCCTGCGCCTTTGGAAGGCTGAGGTGAGTGGATTGCCTGAGCCCGCGGGTTCAAGACCCGCCTGGGCAGCGAGACCTCATCTCTACAATAAATCAAAAAATCAGCCGGGTGTGGTAGCACATGCCTGTAATTCCGGCTACTGGGAAGGCTGAGGCGGAAGGATCGTCGGAGCCCAGCAGGTCGAGGCTGCAGTGCCTGGGAGCGGCCACTGCACTCCAGTCTGGGTGACCGAGTGAGACTCCAACTCGAAAAAAAAAAAAGGACACCCATACACTTTAATACGCAGGCGTGGGTGTTTCTAGAGTGGCACGTGAACACGGTGACCGTGGTTGCCTGTGCAGCAGCTTTCACTGTCAACCCTCTGGCCGTGTTTGAGTAATCCACCCTCCACATGTGAATCCTGACTCTCACATATCTTCTCAATGAGGACCCCTCGGTGTCTGGAGGAACCCATGAATGCTTCCTGTACCCTGAGTACAAGAGCACCCCATCTTGAAACTTAAACAAAACATATTTTCAGTGTTCCCCAAAAACCTGGAAATAAACTGATTACCTACCAGTAAGAGAATAATTGGATGATTGATGGACATCCGTAGCATTCCACGCTAGGGTATATTATGCAGACACAGAAAAGAATAAATTTTAGTGTAGTCTTGGAGGACAACCACAAGGAAGCGGCAGTCCTCTGAGTTTTTGTTTGGTTGTTTTTAATCACAGAGTAAACACAAACTTATTGAGTGAGAAAAGGATGCTGCTGAGAAGTATGTGTGTCCCATTTTTGTAGACCTCCCCCAAAATTCCTAGTAAATGTGTTTTGAGCCGGGCTCAGTGGCTCAGCGTGTATCCCACACTTCAGGAGGCTGAGGTGAGTGGATTGCCTGAGCTCGCGGGTTCGAGACCCGCCTGGGCAACTTGGCGAGACCTCATCTCTACAATAAATCAAAAATTAGCCGGGCGTGGTAGTGCGCACCTGTATTTCCGGCTACTTGGAAGGTTGAGGCGGAAGGATCGCCTGAGGCCTTAGTCTGTGTTGGCTTGTTTTTAATCATAGAGCAAAGCGCAACTGCAGGTCGAGGCTGCAGTGGCCGGGAGCGGCCACTGCACTCCAGTCTGGGCGACAGAGTGAGACTCCAACTCAAAAAAAAAGTGTTTTGATTATGTATGCTACATTTGTTAGATAGATGTTAACATTCCATGCACTTAGGAGAATATTCTGCAGGCTTTCAGCATGGGCCACCGGGAGAGCAGAAAAATGACTGAAAGGCAACTCTTGCTGGGCACTGTGGCTCATGCCTGTAATCCCAGCACTTTGGGAGGCAGAGGCGAGAGGGTTACCTGACTCCTGGGGTTCGAGGCCAGCCTGGGCGACGTGGCAAGACCACATCTCTACAATTAAAAAAAGTTATCCAGGCATGGTAGTGCGCACCTGTAGTTCCAGCTACTTGGAAGGCTGAGGTGGAAGGATTGCCTGAGCCCAGCGGGTCGAGGCAGTGGTCGTGAGTGTGCCACTGCACTCCAGCCTGGGCGACAGAGTGAGACTTCGACTCAAAAATAGAAAGAAAGGCAGCTCCAGCGCCTGGGGCATGACCCCACACAGGATGGCCCCCGGCATAAATCACATGTGTACATGTGTGCGTGAAGAAGTCGGGAGGAAAGCCTCACTGTAACACGCTGCAGACTTTTAAAATCCCAACCGCCCTGGCCTCAGGTGGAGGAGCTTTGTGCCCGGAGAGGTCTCGAGTTGCTCCTTTGCTGTAATAAGGATTGGGACGTCTGCTGCTTCCAGGGCCATTTGCGTGTGGCAGTTGATGTCCCATCTTGCATGCCAGTGACTTTCTCTCCTCATTCCACAGGCCCATCTGCAGAAGGCAAGGCCCTGGCGGCTGTGTCCCTTGCTCTCTGTTTATTCTGGGCTTGTGTAGATGTTACTAAGCTCTGCCTTTCTCCTGGTTTCCTGAAGACATTGGCACTTCTTTGTTTTTTGGATTTTTTTGAGTCGAAGTCTCACACCATCTGGAGTGCAGGGGCACACTCAACGGCCACCGCAACCTCGACCTGCTGGGCTCCGGCGATCCTTCCGCCTCAGCCTTCCAAGTAGTCAGAACTACAGGCAGGCACTACTGTGCCCGGCTTATTTTTTATTTATCGTAGAGACAAGGTCTCACCAAGTTGCCCGGGTGGGTCTCAAACCTGTGGGCTCAGGCAGTCCACTCGTCTCGGCCTCGCAAAGTGCTGGGATGACAGGCTGAGCCACCAAGCCCGGCCGACATTGGCACTTCTACAAGTTGGTCAGCAGGTTGGGTGACAGGTGCAAGGTATTAACCATGAATTTTTGAAAATTTCTCTCTGTGTACTCTTTTTTAAAGACATGAAAGAATTACGGATGTTCTTGATCAAAAGAATTATGTGGAAGAGCTTAACCGGCACCTGAGGTAGGTAGGATTTGCCCCCGTCTGGTGTCCGCTGCGTGCTCGGTGTTCTGTTAGGGTTTGGTGGGACTTCTTTATGCTGCCATCTGTTTAAAGCCAAGTATTTTCCAAACTGAGAAAAAAGGTCGTCATGCAGGCCACACTCAAGTGCAGCCTGGAAAGTGTGACTGCTGCTTGATGAGCCATTCTTAGGCCCTCTGCCTCTCTGTTGTGTGCAGTTACGCAACCCAGAGGTAAATACACCAGCCCTTGCCCCCCCGCTCCTCCCCCAGCCACGGGACTAGAGATCCCGCCACACAGGTGCTGCCAGGACACAGCACACGGCCCTCCGGCGCCAGGGCAGGACAGGCCTGAGCACCACCGGGCTGGCCCTTGGCCCAGGGGGATGGTGAGCGCAGGCATCTTCGTCTTGTCGTGGAAGTATCTGCGGAAAGCTGCTGGTGTGTTTCAGGAAGCGCCAGTTCTGAGAGGGGCTGGTGGCAGCGTGGTCCCCTGGAGAACACTCGGCCCGTGTGTGGCACACCCAGGACAGCCTTTCGGGCCCACAGCCAGGCAGGGAGCGCGGTCCCTCTGTGTGTGGCGGCGGCTGGCTTCCGAGAGAGATTCTGGGTCAGTTCCTGGTTTACTGAGGGTTGAGTTTCACCGAATGTCTTTTGGGGTCTTTAAGCTTGGTCATGGCTCTTGTCCCCTAACCAAGTGATGTGTGGTGATGCCCTTTCTTTATTCATGGGCCGGACCGTCCTGTTGACGGGTCACCTGACTCAACCACTGTGTGGTTTCCCTTCCCTGGTGCTCCACCAGGGCCGTGCAGCTCACAGAATGCATTCACGGGTGCCGCCTGATGTCTTCCTGGGACAGCTTTGTGTCACGGCCCTTTTACCCCTGGAAAATGTGAAGCCCAGAGCCACACAAGGCAGTGCCTCCAGATGCCCAGCTTTTCCTTATTTACCAGTTCGTCTAGGTTTTCTCTTGAGGATATGTCTCTTTTTTTTTTTTGTAATTTGTATTTTTAAGAAAAATATAAATTGTATGGGTATTTTCAAATTCATATAGTTGGCATAGAATTGAAAATTGCATACTCTTAATACTTTTCATTACCTCCGTGTCTTTTTTTTTTCATTTTGTGTCTCTGATTTTATTTTTTTCCTACCTATTTCCTGAGCCTTGATTCAGTAGCCTTGCCAGGTTTGTTTCTTCGTGCTCCTCCCTGGAAAAGGGACTGGCCTTCTCAGGATGGGCTGTGGCCCAGAAGCTTCGGCTCTGGCACCATAGCCCCTGCGTTACATGAACTTGATATGAGAACTTGAATGTGAAGTTAACTTAAATGTAAAGTTAAGTTACTTCTTCTGTGATATGGATTAGCAATGGGATCTACTACTTCTTGTAATCCTCCTCATTTGGTAGGTAGGGTTAGCCAGGCACAGTGGCTCATGCCTATAATGCCAGCGCTTTGGGAGGCTGAGGCAGAAGGATCACTTGAGGCCACAAGTTCAAGAACAGCCTGGGTAATATAGGGAGATGCCATCTCAAAAAGAAAAGTGAAAGACTAAATGAGTTGATGCATTTAAAGTGCTTAGCGCACCCCTCATCTTTAAAATTAAAAAAAAATAATTTTTTAAAAGTGCTTAGGACAAACAGGGCCTGGCACACAGTCCAAAAAATAAGTTACTATCACTGTGATTATTATTATTGTTGTTTATCAAGTCTATTGTTTTTCCTACTTACTGATTCATTTCATTAGCTTTTTACATATTTTTCAGTATAAAAGTAATTCATGTTACTTAAAGAATATTTGAAAAATGAGAAAAGTACAAAAAGGATTTAAAAATCACTCTTGCCAGGTATGGTGGCTCATGCCTGTCATCCAGCACTTTGGGAGGTGAGAGACAAAAGGGTTGCCTAAGCCTACAGGTTCGAGACCAGCCTGGGCAACTTGGCGAGACCTCATCTCTACAGTAAATCAAAAAATTAGCTGAGCATGGTGGTGCACACCTGTAGTTCCACCTACTTGCAAGGCTGAGATGGAAGGGTCCCCTGATTCTGGTGGGTCAAGACTGCAGTGACTGTGAGTGTGCCACTGCACTCCAGCTTGGGCAACAGTGAGACTTTTCTACTCAAAAAAAAAAAAAAAAAAAGGCCAGGCTTGGTGATTCAGCCTGTAATCCCAGCACTTTGGAAGACTGAGACGAGTGGATTGCCTGAGCCCACAGGTATGAAACCAGCCCAGGCAACTTGGCGAGTCCTCGTCTCTACAATAAATCAAAAAACTTAGCTGGGCATGGTAGCGTGCGCCTGCAGTTCCAGCTACTTAGAAGGCTGAGGCGGAAGGATTGCCTAAACCCAGCAGGTTGACACTGGGATGGCCATGAGCATGCCACTGCACTCCAGCCTGGGCAGCGGAGTGAGACTCCAACTCAAAAAAAAAATGCCGGGCATGGTGGCTCACACCTGTTATCCCAGCACTTTGGGAGGTGGAGGCAAGGGGTTCAAGACCAGCCTGGGCAACTTCGCGAGACCTTGTCTCTAGAGTAAATCAAAAAATTAGCCAGGCGTGGTGGCACATGCCTATGGTTCCAGCTACTTGGAAGGCTGAGGCGGAAGGATTGCCTGAACCCAGCAGGTTGAGGCTGCGGTGGCCGTGGGCGTACCACTGCACTCCAGCCTGGGCAATAGAGCAAGACTCCGTCTCAAATAAATAAATAAAAATAAAAATCCCCTTTGAGGCTACTGCCCAAAAGTACCAGCATCTTGTGACAAACATTACTTTTGGTGTACAACCACCAGCACATTTTGGTTTCCATCGTCTACTGTATTGGGGAAAAAATTTTGTTTCTTAACTGAACAATGTATTTTAGAGGAAAACTTATTGAAAAGTATGTGCAAGCCGGGCTCGGTGGCTCAGCCTGTAATCCTGCGCCTTTGGGAGGCTGAGGTGAGTGGATTGCCTGAGCCCGCGGGTTCAAGACCCACCTGGGCAACTTGGCGAGACCTCATCTCTACAATAAATAAAAAAATCTGCCGGGCGTGGTAGTGAATGCCTGTAATTCCGGCTACTCGGAAGGCTGAGGCGGAAGGATTGCTGGAGCCCAGCAGGTCGAGTCTGCGGTGGCCGGGAGCGGCCACTGCACTCGTCTGGGCGACAGAGTGAGACTCCAACTCAAAAAAAAAAAAAATGTGCATGTGTTTATATATACACACAGAAACATGTATCTGTTTTTAGAATTCACGTCTCCTCTGAGTTCACTGGAGACCCTTTTACCTTCCCATTTCACACCCGATGTGCAGGAATCTCCCTGTTCACAACTTGCAGGGAGTCAGCTTTTATAAGGTCTTGGTTACCTGATACTTTTCTCCTCTGCAGCTGCACCGTTGGGGATCTTCAAAGCAAGGTTGACAGCTTAGAAAAGACGAATTCAAAGCTTCAGGAAGAGGTTTGTAATTTACAGAGATTCTTAAAACAGGAGGACCCAAGGTTCTGAGAAGCGGCGTGGTTGGTCTGTCTGGCCAGAGCTTCTTGCTGGTGGGAAGGGTGCTTGCCAACCTCGAGTTACGCTGCACGTGAGACAGGAGTGTATCTGTGTGTCTGTGTTCTGCCTTGTCCGGGGCTCCCAGTGAGACCCTGCAGCAATTATGGGCCACTTCCAAGTGACTTAGGGTAGTCACCTCAGAGTAGTCCAAAAGGAGACCGCTCCCCATTGGAGCAGCCCAGCTTCCGGGGACCTGCCGTCTGCCTCCTTCTACCTCTGCTGCGGCGTTGTCTGCAGCCCCGGAAGGCACAGGCCCTGCCTCAAGATGCGAGTGCCCAGCCCAGCCCTCTGTTCAGTCTCTCAAGATCATGGACTGGTCTCCCCACAGCGTGGTCTTTCTCTGCTTTCTCACTAGGAAGAGAGAGAATGAAAGGACAGGAAGAAGGAGGGCCGAGGCTGAGGACGAGAGCTTGCTGCCAGCAGCCCGGCAGTCCCCTTGGCGGACGCATCTTGCCTCCTGCTAGCAGGAGGGGATTGCTCGGCCTTGTGAGGCTTCCCACAGGTAGCGGTCCCTGGCTGCCAGGCCTCCCCCTAGTCTCACTGGGGAGGAAGAGGGGCTTGAGAACGAGCGCCTCCCCAGCGTGGAGGCAGGGACACCCAGAGAGGGTCTCGGGGCACGTCTGGGATGAAGGCCCCTTTCGAAAGCTCCTTAGACTAACGACTCTCTGCTGCGTGAGCAGGAGGAAACAGAAAGACAGTGTTTCCGGCGGGCGCGTCCTGGGAGGGCCTCCCTGAGCCTCGAGCTGGGAGTTGGCCTCCCTCAGCAGCTGGCCTCGGACCTCATGGGACAGGCAGGTCTTTGAGCCCCACGTCTCTCATCTCCAGATGAGGTCGTAACACAGACTTGCCAGCACTGGTGAAAGGGTAAGACCCAGGTCCTGCAGCTAGGTCTCGTCCGACCTTGGGGTGCTCAAGAGTTGCTTGAATTTAGAACAGGCCGGCTTCGCTCTTGTCTCTTAGACACAACGGCATGCTTGGAGGTCTGATGCCAAAACACCTGGCAACTGGGTTATGTTTTCTTCAAAGCTAGTGACTGCCACAGAGAATGTGCTTGGAAGAAGCCTCCCCCTCCCCAGGCGTGCCGCGGTGTCTGAGCCACGGCTCTGCTCCTCCCTCCCTCGGAGCAGTGAGCACCCCTTAAGGTCCCAACACCCCTGGGAGTTCGGGGGTGTTGGGAACCCCAGGCCTGGTTCGGCAGCAAGTGAGGGTGGTTCCACAAAGTGAGGTGGGGAGTCCATGCCTGGAGGTCCCTCCACAGCGACGCCTCAGATGCCCAGCAAATGCCAGTTTTGCTCTGGGCGCACGTGGTCCCCCGGACGCAGCCGCTGCTCTCTCCCAGCCCTGCCCGCCCTTCCCAGCGCTGTTCCAGCAGGACGCGAGGTGGCCTGGCCCCCTGTGGTGGCCACCGCTCAGGAGGCCAGAACACCTGCCCACATCTGCTTGCCCTGAGCCCCATGACCCCCTGCAGGCAAGGAGGAGCTCCCCCGGACCGTCGTCAGCCAGGGGGCCTTGACTTCTCCCCAAGTCTTTAACGCTCCCTCTGGTGATAAAAGACACTTTAGTTCGTCAGCTAGAAAAACCGGAAAGCATGAAGGATCAGGAAGAAGGCCCCGATCCCCTCTGAGTGACAACTGTCTCAGCCCTTGTCATCTGGTATACATCGCCCCCGCCTTTTCTCATGCATTTTTGACCTAGTCAGTTTTTTAATTTTACAGCATATTATTACCTTTCTCCCCCTTGGCACTGTATCTTAAGTATGTCCTCAAGTCATTAAGAGCTTCTGTTAACATCTTTTTTTCAGCTGGGCTCGGTGGCTCAGCCTGTCATCCCGCGCCTTTGGGAGGCTGAGATGAGTGGACTGCCTGAGCCCGCGGGGTTCAAGACCCGCCTGGGCAGCGAGACCTCATCTCTACAATAAATCAAAAAATCAGCCAGGCGTGGTAGCACGCGCCTGTAATTCTGGCTACTCAGAAGGCTGAGGTGGAAGGATCGCTGGAGCCCAGCAGGTCGAGGCTGCAGTGACCGGGAGCGGCTACTGCACTCCAGTCTGGGCAACAGAGTGAGACTCCAACTCCAACAAAACAAAACAAAACATCTTTTTTTCTATTTGGTTTTTTTTTTTTTTGAGTTGGAGTCTCACTCTGTCGCCCAGGCTAGAGTGCAGTGGCACGCTCACAGCTACTGCAGCCTCGACTTGCTGGGCTCCGGCAATCCTTCCACCTCAGCCTTCCAAGTAGCTGGAACTATGGGCACATGACACCATGCCCCGCTAATTTTTTGACTTACTGTAGAGACGAGATCTCACCAAGTTGCCCAGGCTAGTCTTGAATCCTGGGCTTAGTTAATCCCCTCGCCTCTGCCTCCTAAAGTGCTTGAATTATGGGTATGAGCCACCACGCCTGGCTACTGTTAACATTTCATTAACTAGATGTCTCTGTCCCGTGTTTCCACAGTGATGTATTTAACTATTTCTCTGATGGTGAGCATTTGGGCGGCTTCTGTTTTGCTTCTGTCTATAAGGCCCATCCACGTCAGGCCATATGCTGCTGTCTTTGCCAAGGGGGAGAGGCTCTGAGAAGGACAGAGACACTACGGGCATGGCGGGAGAGAGTCTCCTGCATACGTGCCTGTGTGGGGAGCGTGGAGCCACGTGTTGCCTGTCTGAGACAAGGAAATGAGATACCAAATGTGAACACGCATTGTGAACTGTGGCGATACCTAGCAGATGCTGGTTTTACTTTGAGCAGTGAGACGGTATAACTTCCGAGTGAAGAAATGTGAACGTCTTTCTTGATCAGCTTTCAGCTGCCACGGACCGAATTTGCTCACTTCAAGAGGAGCAGCAGCAATTAAGAGAGCAGAATGAGCTGATTCGAGAAAGAAGCGAGAAGAGCGTAGAGGTGAGAGGGTCACCGCAGCGGGGTGGCAGGCACACGTCCCACGCCACGTCCCACCGCTGGCTGGGCTCGTAGCTTCCTCGTGACTCAGTCCTCTGCACGCAGGGTGCCTTGTGTGGCGTCAGGAGGCCCCTTGCTTCCAGTTGAGCCATGGGGCCACCTCGCCTCGGGCCCGTGTGCGAGAGTCCCCATTCACTCTTCAGCTTCCACTCACAGACGCATCCTCTGTGGTGCCGTCCCTGGAGCCAGATTCCAGTAGCTCTTCGTACATCCCTCCGTTATCAAATCCATCTAATGTTTTTTATTTTACTTTATTTCCAAGTCAGGGTCTCTGTCACCCGGGCTAGAGTGTGGTGGCATGATCACAGTTCACTACTGCCTCGATCTTCTGGGCTCAAGCAGTCCTCCCGCCTCAGCCTCTCAAGCTCGGGCTACGGGTGCACCCTGCCGTGGCTGGCTAATTTTTTTATTTCTTGTAGAGACAGGGTCTTGTTGTGTTACCCAGGCTGGTCTCAAGCTCTCAAGCTCCTGGGCTCAAGCAGTCCTCCCGCCTCAGCCTCCCAGAGTACTGGATTGTCATGTGAGCCCCTATACCTGGCCCATCTACTGTGTCTTAGACTGCTGGCTTGTGGCTCTGTCTCACCTAATGAGTGGGGTTGGAGACCGTATCTGACTCACTCGCCGACCCAGTCAGTGCTAAAAACTCACTTGTAGATACGCAACGATGAGTGAATGGGGGTCTTTCCTGCCAGGGACCATTGTTCTGTTGTGATGAAAAGTGGACATAAATTGCTTTATAGACCTAGCTTTTCGAAAATCTGCTGGTTTGCTATCATTCTTTGTCTTCAAGTTCTGATGTCCTTAAAATTTTCATCTTTTTCTGTCATGCTCAAAAAGTAGAAACTAGGCCGGGCACAGTGTCTCACACCTGCAATCCCAGCACTTTGGGAGGCCAAGGCAAGAAAATTTCCTGAGCCTGTGGGTTGGAGACCAGCCTGAGCCACATGGTAAGACCTCATCTCTATAATAAATCAAAAAATTAGCTGGGTGTGGTGGCGCATGCCTGTGGTTCCAGCTCCTCAGAAGGCTGAGGCAGAAGGATCGCCGGAGCCCAGCAGGTCAAGGCCATGAGTGTGCCACTACACTCCAACCTGCGCAACAGAGTGAGACTCCGACTCAAAAAGAAAAAAAACAGAAATTGGCTGGGCACAATGGCTCACTCCTGTAATCTCAGCACATTGGGAGGTCAAGGTGGGAGGATTGCTTGAGCCCAGAAGTTCGAGACTGACCTAGGCAATTTAATAAAAGCTCGTCTCTACAAAAAATAGAAAAAATTAGCTGGGTGTGGTGGTACCTATAGTTCTAACTACTTGAAACCTTGGGTGGAGGGATTGCCTGAGCCCAGGAGGTCAAGGCGGTGGTAAGCCGTGATCAAGCCTCTGTACTCCATCCTCAGCGACAGAGTGAGACCCTGACTCAAAAAAAAAAAATAGAAATTATCCTATGTTTAAAAAAAATACGATATATTTTAAAATACTTTATAAATAGCTCTCCATAAGCAGCCCATTCCTCTTGGTATTCCTGCTTGAGACAGATAACAAAGCAGGACACCAAAGTGGAATTGGAGACTTACAAGCAAACCCGGCAAGGTCTGGACGAGATGTACAGTGATGTGTGGAGACAGCTGAAGGAGGAGAAGAGGGTCCGGCTGGTGAGTGCACGGGACGGTGTCGGGGGGGGTCCCGTCGTCCTCCGGGTGCCTTCTGTCCACACTCGCATGCTCAACCCTGCTGGTGCTCCCAGAAAGTTAAAAGTTGAGAAAAGCCTATGTTTACAATCTGTTCTGCATCATCCCTTGCATTTTTTTTCCCCATGTTATAAACCTTCTTCAAGATGGCCATGAGACCAGACCCGTGGTATCTTTGACAATGCAGTCCCCTCAGTCGGAGTCTCTGGACTGTTTACTTCCCCGTGGTCTGTGTGCTGTGACCGAGTTATTCATCAGACGCCTCTCTTGCACTTGCTTCATTCCCACTTGGTCCATGTTGTGTCTGAGCCGAGGTCTTTATTAGATGCCACTCTTGTACCTGCTTCATTTCTTTGCCTCTTTTCACGGATGTGGGAAACAGACATCCTGCGTTATCCAGGAGAGAACCATTTTTAAATGGTTGTGTCGGCCAGGCGTGGTGGCTCATGCCTGTCATCCCAGCACTTTGGGAGGCCGAGGCGAGAGGATTGCCTGAGCTCAGTGGTTCAAGACCAGCCTGAGCAACATGGCAAGACTTTGTCTCTACACTTTAAAAAAAAACAAAAAAACTAGCCGGGCATGGTGGCATGCATCTGTAGTTCCAGCTACTTGGAAGGTTGAGGTGGAAAGATCGCCTAAGCCATCAACCAGGCATGGTGGTACATGGCTGGTTCCAGCTCCTTGGAAAGCTGAGGTGGAAGGATCACTTGAGCCCAGAAGGTCGTGGCTGCAGTGGCCGTGAGCGTGCCCTGCACTCCAGCCTGGGCGACAGAGACTCTGACTCAAAAAAAAAATGGCTGTGTCATTTTTGCCATAGAGATGATCAAAATATTCCAGAAATCTAACATCGCACCATCAGATCCCTTCCAGCACTCAAAGAAAAGACAGACATGCTTTGAGATCACCATTATGACATGCAGGTGTGGAGAACATGGTTGTTTGACTCTCGTCTTTCCTGCCGCCAACCAGCTTTCTGTTGGCGAACCATGAAGCGAGGAGAAACGCTGTCTAGCTCTCTGCAGACGGTTCCCAAGTTTTCCAGCCTTCTCTGACCTATTTGTATTTAAACAGGGCCCAAGATGCAACTACATGTCAGCTGAAGACACCTCTGCGATTAACTTGAGTAACACTGTTTTTTGCAAATACTCTTAAGGAACTGGAGAAAGAACTGGAGCTACAAGTGGGGATGAAAGCCGAGATGGAAATCGCCATGAAGCTGCTGGAAAAGGATACCCACGAGAAGCAGGACTCCCTGGCCGCCCTCCGCCAGCAGCTGGAGGAAGTGAAAGCGATCAACTTACAGATGTTCCACAAGGTTCAGGTAGAAGCTGGCCCGTGTCCGCTCGCCGTGCGCGTCCTGCTGCCTGCCAGGCTCGCGGCCTTCTTGCAGGCCGGGCCGGCGGACCCTGAGGGGCTTCCGTGTGCAAACCTGGCCCTGGGCCCTGCTGTGTGTGACTGTGCTTGCTTCTCTTGGCCTGCGCAGCAGTCCCTGAGAACGGGCAAGTGTAAGTGACCAGGCGGAGCTGAGTGGCCACGCCACGTGCCCGGGTGGCTCGGCTCTCGAGGAGGGCTGGACCCAGGTTGCGTCTGTCCCGCCTGGACCTTGCCGTCCACCTCGCCGTCTCCTTGCTCTCTGCTTCCTTCTGTTTCGGGCACTCGTTGTTCACACCAAGAGACAGAGACGCGAATCAGAGCTGTCATTCAGAGCTGTCTTCCCAGCGTGTCTGTTAAGTGAATCTCGGGGGTCTTCTGGGCCACGTAGTACCCAAGTGCGTCTCCCATGTCATTTCACAGTAGTCGGCCGATGCTTGAGGATTATGTCCTCTTGTTTTCACTGAAAGCCCTGTTTTTTCCGCTTTAGATGTAGATGGGTGAGTCAATCCCACGCCCCATCTGGGTTCACTATAAGGAAACGCTTCTGTTGGCCGGGAGAGTAGTCATGCCTGTAAGCCCAGCAGTTTGGGAGGCTGAGGCAGGAGAATTACTCAAGCCCAGGAGTTCAAGATCAGCCTGGGCAATGTAGCAAGACCTATTCTCTGCGCTAAATCAACATCTGAGTCCTGATGTTTGGGGATTTTTGTGGAAGATTCGAAGTGCTCCGGGGTGGTGACTCTGACGGGGTATGGGCGGGGCACACCCACGGGGGGCTGGGTGCTTTGCGCCCTCCCACATCCCTCCTGTGTGCCCTCTCCCTGTGGTTGTGTGTACTTCATAGTACACCAGTAACAGTCACATGCCTTCTGGAGTCCTGCCAGCCGCTCTGGCAGCCCGCGGGAGGGTTGGTGGGACCGTAGCTTATCGCCCTGGGTCAGGACTGCAGTGGCAGCCCGGCAGCCTGGGACTCTGACTGCAGCTGAAGGGGGCCGTCTCGTAGGGTCGCACTCTTCCCCGGGGACCTGTGCCCACACGGAGTGATGAGAGTCAGAATGGAGTGGGGCCAGAGGACACCCAGGCCGGATCTGCTTGGCTGTGGGTGTGGGAGCACCCACCGTCTGGTGTCAGGCGCTGCAAGTCAGCGTCCGGCCCCTTGGCCTGCTCCCTGCTTACCTCTGGCTCTTTCTGCTTGTTTTCCGCTGGTGAAGCACACGCTTGGCGCATCTGTGCTCTTGCTTCTCTTCCCTAAACTAAATGGTTCAAAGTCAGAAATTACCCACGAGAGCAGCTTTGTCTGTGCCTGTCACATTCTGACAAGAGTGTTTCATTGTCAGAGAAGCACATGGGCCCCTAGAGTCGGTGTGTGTCGGCCCCGGCCTGCTGCCAGCTTTCCCCTCCGTGTGTGCACTTGCTGGGCATCTGTACTTGGTGGCTCTTCAGTGGGCAGAGTAGCGCAGTGTCCAGTTGTCTTTACTGCTAAGGATTTCATATGTTTTCCTTCCAATTTGTTTTCTTTTTTTTTTTGAGTTGGAGTCTCACTCCATCGCCCAGGCTGGAGTGCAGCGGCACACTCACAGCCACCCCAGCATTGACCTGCTGGGCTCCAGTGATCCTTTCACCTCAGCCTTCCAAGTAGCCAGAACCATAGGTGTGCACTACCGCGCCTGGCTAATTTCTTTTTGGATTTATTGTAAAGATGAGGTCTCACCAAGTTGCCCAGGCTGGTCTCGAACCCACAGGTTCAGGCAATCCACTCACCTTGGCCTCCCAAAGTGCTGGGATGATAGGCTGAGCCACCGCGCCCAGCCCCAGTTTGTTCTTTTAGTGCAGTGGTTTTTTAGGAATTTGCTATTTGGTTTCTAGGTAGGAGGTATATTTCTAGCGGTTCTTGTGTTGTTAATGTTACACTAAGGCCAGAGATGTGGTCTGTATGTCCTTTCTTGGGGCTTCCTTCTGTCTTCAGCCTTCTGTGTCCTTTAAGTTTCTCAGTACCCCCCTCCCCCACCGCCACTCTGTCTTCATGGTCACAGTCTGTGTCACAGCACATGTGGGCGTGAGCCCTGCCCAGTCCTTTCGTGTTCTTGACCTTCGGCCAGCTGCCGTCTGGGGGAGTGAGCGCCCGACCCCACTTCCTTTCAAGGCTCTGCAGAGCCAGGTGCATCGGGGGCCGTGCCTGGGGATGACGTGGGGACGCTGAGTCCAGCCTGGCTCTGGTCCCTGTCAGGGAGGAGCGAAGGCTGCCGTTCCTCCCTCCCCGCCTTTCCTCCATTGGCAGCAGGGAGCCCAGACCACTGTCTTCTCGGGCTTCCGGGAAGGGCAGCAGGTAGCAGAGACTCGTGAAAGCCTTGTGAACACTGGGCGCAGTGGCTCCCGCCTATCACCCAGCACTGTGGGAGGCCGAGGCAAGAGGATGGCCTGAGCCCAGGGGTTCGAGACCCGCCTGGGCAACGTGCGAGCCCTCACCTCTGCAATAATCAAAAAGTTAGTCGGTGTGGTGGCACATGTCTGTAGTTCCTGCAACTAGGTGGGCTGAGGTGGCAGGATTGCCTGAACCCAGCAGGTGGAGGCTGCGATGGTGGTGAGCATGCCATGGCACTCCAGCCTGGGCAACAGAGTGAGACCTCGACTCCAAAAAAGAAAGAAGCCAGGCTCGGTGGCTCAGCCTGTAATCCCGCGCCTTGGGAGGCTGAGGTGAGTGAATTGCCTGAGCCCGCGGGTTCGAGACCTGCCTGGGCAACTTGGCAAGACCTCATCTCTACAATAAATCAAAAAATTATCCAGGTGTGGTAGCACGCGCCTGTAGTTCCAGCTACTTGGAAGGCTGAGGCAGAAGGATCGCCAGAGCCCAGCAGGTCGAGGCTGCGGTGGCCGGGAGCGGCCACTGCACTCCGTTCTGGCCAACAGAGTGAGACTCCAACTCAAAAAAAAGAAGACAAAGTGTTGTGAAAGTGCTGGGCTCACAGTGACACCCCAGCACAGGTGCACAGGCACACACACAGAGCCCACGCCCTCTCTTGTCTTTTTAGAGTGTGGAGAGCAGCTTGCAGCAGAAGGACGATGCCATCACATCCTTTGAAGAGAAAACCAGCCAGGTCATGGCCAGCATGAAGCAGATGGAAGAAAGGTGATCACTCCTGCAGACGTGCCCCCGGAGGTGCTTGTGTTCCCTGGGCTGGGACGTGTTTGGAGCCCCCCCCCGGAGTTGCAGAGGCAGGGATGACTGTCCTTCAGGCCCCTCATCCTGCCGGGGGGTGGCTGGCCTGCAAAGTGGGCCCAAGCACAGCCCTGGGCCTTGGCTGCTGCATCCGACTGGCTCTTGGGTTGGAATGTTCGGGAGCTCCTTGTCACAGCCACAATGAGTATCAGGTCTATCAGAATAAAGTCCAGGCCGGGCTCGGTGGCTCAGCCTGTAATCCCAGCGCTTTGGGAGGCCAAGGTGAGTGGATTGCCTGGGCCCGCGGATTCAAGACCCTCCTGGGCAACTTGGTGAGACCTCATCTCTACAATAAATCAAAAATTAGCTGGGCGTGGTAGCGCGCGCCTGTAGTTCCAGCTACTCGGAAGGCTGAGGCAGAAGGATCGCCGGAGCCCAGCAGGTCGAGGCTGCGGTGGCCAGAGCGGCTACCGCACTCCAGTCTGGGTGACAGAGTGAGACTCCAACTCAAAATAAAAATAAAAACAGACAAAAGTGCCGGGCTCCGTGGCTCAGCCTGTAATCCCAGCCCTTTGGGAGGCCAAGGCTAGTGGATCGTCTGAGCCCGCCTGGGCAACTTGGCGAGAGACCTCATCTCTACAGTAAATCAAAGATTAGCCAGGCGTGGTAGCACGTGCCTGTAGTTCCAGCTACTTGGAAGGCTGAGGCGGAAGGATCGCCAAAGCCCAGCAGGTGGAGGCTGCGGTGGCCGGGAGCGGCCACTGCACTCCAGTCTGGGCGGCAGAGTGAGACTCAACTCAAAAAAATAAATAAATAAAAGCGGAAGCCAGGCCAGGCTTGTGACTCAGCCTGTAATCCCTGCACTCTGGGAGGCTGAGGTGAGAGGATTGCCTGAGCCCAAGAGTTCGAGACCAGCCCGGCAACTTGGTGAGGCCTCATCTCTGCAATAAATCACAAAATTAGCTGGGGGTGGTGGCGCATGCCTGTGGTTCCGGCTACTTGGAAGGCTGAGGCGCAAGGGTTGCCAGAGCCCAGCAGGTTGGCGCCAGCAGGGGTGGCATGCCAGCAGGGGTGGCGCCCCAGCAGGGGTGGCGCCCCAGCAGGGGTGGCGCCCCAGCAGGGGTGGCGCCCCAGCAGGGGTGGCTTGTGAGTGTGCCACTGCACTCCAGCCTGGGCAACAGAGTGAGGCGCCAGCTCACCAAACAAATCAAAAAGCTCGAGCCAGTGGAAGCACATAAAGCACACTTGTCAGCAGTGCCCCTGCCCACTGGGTGCTTTTCCGCAGGTGGCAGCAGGCCGAGCGGGCGCGGCAGGGTGCGGAGGAGCGGGGCCACC